ATTTTATCTAATCAAAATAATTTTAGGTAAAATCTCGATTTTGACAACCTCTGGCTCACAATTCATGATTTTTTTTTTATTCTAATAATAACCGATGACAACCAATAAAATGAATCTTAAAAAGTTAAAATAAGAATATATGACATAAAGCAAAAGCAGAAACAGCAGCTTGACTTGGACGACTTTGGAAGTAGAAGTCAAGAGGAGAGAGGTTAAGTTAGCAACATTGATTGAAGGAGCGATCTTGGAGAACAGAACAGAACAGAACAGAGCAATCAGGTTGCTTGTTTCTCCCTCATTGTTCTCTGGTTTTTTTTTTTTTTTTGTTTGAATCAGCTCATCAATATAGATTGCTTTCAAACTAACTCTGCTTGAGTTTGTAGGCTATTTAGATTGTTTACCTGCTTAATTTGTAGAAATCCTGTTACCCATCTTTAGAATTTATCAGTTTCTCAACTTACTTGGTAAGTTTTAATTTTTGTAGCAGTCAACCAACGGAGAGATGTCAATATCAACAGGGACGACGCAGCTCTCCCCGAACAGGGAGATCACGGAAACACCTCCCGAAACCAACATCAACGGGTAAGAAAATCTCATCCTCTCTAAATGATCCATGTAGTAGTAGTAGTAGTAGTAGTAAGGAAGTAAGATATGTTTTCGGTTGACCTTTGTCCTTTCATATTTCATGCCCTTGAACTTGAATCATCTTTTTCTTACTCCTATATTTTTCTAGCATGGCTATTATTGTGGGGTTTTTTAAGTTTACTTTGTTTTGGCTGCCGTGGGTTGAGGAAATTAGATGATTGTGTTGTAGATTTCTAAATTGTTACCGTTATTAAGAGGTAGGAATGGGAAAGTTACGTTCTTTGTGTGATTTTGACGAACAAGAAGAAAGGTACTTGCGGACTTCAGTGCTAGATAATAAAAATCATACTTTTTTTTTTTTTGAAGTGTATTTTAATAAATTCATGAAACGGATGGTATTTTAATGTGTTGTTTTCGCTGTAAAACACTATTATTTTTAGTAAAAAAAATTCCCTCACAATAATTACAATTTTGCTATTTTTCTGTACCAGAATGACTGTTGAAAAGGTGACCGGTGCTGGAATGACTGTTAAAGCGACCGAAGATGATGTGGATAAGGTAGTGGACAAGTTGATGAATGCGCAAACACTTTCTCTGACTGGGGATGCTGGAGTGGGTAAAACGTGGATGGCAAAACAAGTGAGTCAGTCTGCACTCAAGAACCCGAAGGGCTCTTTCTATGGGACTGTTTGGATTTCTGTTGACCAAATTCATGATGAGTCTTCTCTTTGGGAGAGTGTTGCCCGTCAGTTGTCTCTCCTTACCAGTGCAGATGAGTGGGAGGCTTATGTTGATGATAAGAAAGATGAAGACGATTCAGAGGGAGAACGAAAAATGGACAAGGAGAGTGTGGACGGCTTGATCAAACAGATAAAAGAAAAGCATGAAGAGAAGGCTGCAATGGATAAGCATATTCTGTTGGTTCTGGATGGTGGTTTCCTGAGTAATGATAGTGATAAGAATTTGTCTTCTGTTTTTGACGTGCAGCATTGCAAGGATTGCAAGGTTCTAGTCACAAGAAGGGAAAGTCAAGATATTGCACGGGGAGAAATTATCAAAGTTATGCCTCTCTCGGGGAGTGAGGCTTTGATGTTATTAAACACCCTGGGGAAAAAGTTTAATCCTACTCCCTCTGGTTTTGAAGGATTACGTGAGGCCGTTAAAAAGCAGAAAAAGGTTTTTCCTGCTGATATCATGAGGATAGTGGGAGCCTTATACTGCATTGCAAAATCAGAGGACTCGGAGGATGGAGTCCCTAAATCAGTCTCCAAATCAGAGGAGGACGGAGTCCCCAAATTAGAGTATGCCCTGAAAGAAGCAGCCAATGGTCTGACAGAGTTTGTAGAGGGTCAACTTGCAGGAAAAGATGATGGAGTCTCGAAATTGGAGGCTGCTATCAATGCAGCACCTAATGGTCTTACAGAATTACTTCAGATTGAACGTGAGGTGTTAGAAGCCAAGGGTATGATTGACTACTATTGGCATATCCATGACTTCTTTGGCAAGCGTGGTGGTGTTCATTACAATGAGTTGATCGTTCATTGGATGTTGGAAGGCTATGTCAATCCAGTTGATTATTCTCGAA